CAGAGCAGAAATAGTCATGGTCTTGGAGAAGAAGCCAAAATAGTACCTTTTTTAGTTTCTGTTGTAGTGTAACCAAGGCATAGTCTGCAGACCAGATGTGATCCATGTTGTTGAAGAGTACATGGGTTGTGAAGGGGGGCACAAGGACAGCTGTACCATTCAGAGTAAATCCTGCACCTTGCTCAGCATCCAGGCTCAAAAAGCTGTAGGCAGGTAGCTGTGCAATTGTAGCTTGTTTTGAGAGCCTTATGAACCTGGTGTGATTTACCTGTTTGGTAGCCCTCTTTCATGTGCTTGTCCCACTCATATTTTGACCCATGTAAATTTTTTCCATACTCACAGTGTCCTTTGGCAAGGGCGTCCACAGGTCTGCTGTGTTCAAACTGCCTCCCTTGTTATAAATCTGGATCTGACCAGTTTCAGTTGATGGCTCTTGGTATTTAAACTAGAAGAGATGATAAAGGGTCAAATACTTGACCATCTTTGCCATGGTATATATATTTGTGAAAAAACCTTTACCAGATCCCCTTCAAGTCACCTTTTTTTTTTCCTCCAGACTCCATTATTTCTGACAGAGAAGCCATTCCCTAGTGTTTATCATCATTGTTCCTCTCTTGACACTTTTTCAGGAGTGCCTGTAAGTTGAACAAACAATAACGACAACAACAAAACCCAGATGTGTGTTGTGTGTTTGTGAAAGGGAGAGGGATCTCCTTGGAAATGTTTTCTGTCTAACAACTGTAGTCAAAGGCATAAAGTAATTTTTAAAGGAAATTTAGGATTAATATTGTCAGTTATTGACAAATAGTACTTTAGAGATTCTTAGTGAAGGAAAACTTCTGTAAAGCTGCAGGGGTAGAAATATCCCCTCAAACCATGTAATCCATTTGGTGTTCATCACTGTTAACCCTAGAGCTTATAAAAGATATCTATACCAAGAAGATATGTATATCATGATTTTTTTTTTGTTGCTGCCCAGTGATCAGAGACCCAGGATAATACTCATAAGAGCTCAAGTTTCTCCTTCAGATTAAATGACTACTGGCAGTGATTATTTATATCTGTCTTTGATAGATAACTTGGTGCAACTGCTGCAGCGGTTTTGGATATGGTGCAGACATAACCCATATGGTCTGAGATGGGGGGAATATTTGTGCAAGAGGCTCTTCATCATTCTGTCATGAGTTTTTATTTATTCTTTTGAGCTGTCAATGCTGTGGCTGAGTTTTTGTGTGCTCAGGCATCCTTTTATTACACCCACCTGTCCTTTGCAATAAGCCTTGAGTCAATGTTCTCAGCTAAAATTTTGCACACATGTTCTTCTGAAAGGGACCTCCTTCCCAGAAGGTAAATGTTTGGCACTTTCTGAAATGGGGCATCTTCAAAGTACTTCTGATCAGGTACCTGAAATGACCAGTTGTGTGTGGAAAACCTGAGTTCCGAGCTCTGTGTGTCCCTTTGGAAAGGTCAGATCTTGCCAAAATCATCTGAGATTGCTGTGAGGGTACAGATTTTGCAAAGACACCATGTACTCAAAAGCTGAGCTGCAGCACTGCTGGGGGAGATGCCTGGCTGGCAGGGATGCTTGATGCTCCTTTTTTGCTCCTTTCTTTCTTGGAGAAGCATTGAAATCCTGGCTGTGATGTGACAAGGGAGCCTTGAATGGCTGTCTGACTCTGACATAGCATTTTTCTCTTGCCTTTCCTGTGCTTTTCAGAGCTGTTTCCTGTGACATTTACAGTGGCCCTGCTGGGAGAGGTGGCATAGGGCAGCTGCAGGGACTGGGTGTCTGGTGTTCCTGGGTCCTGCACTGTCCCTTGCTGCCTCAGTCTAATTACCTGGCTGCCCTGCCCTCTCTTGCCACTGCTTTTATCCCCCTCCAGGGCTTGGGAGATGGATAAGCTGGTAGCTGCCTGGCTGTTGTTTGGCTTGCTCCTGGCTCAAAAGGCTGGCAACAATAGCCCTGATCCATAGGGGATAAGGATCAGGGGATGGCTTCCTCCTTATCACATGGAATTTGCTGTGTTTTGGAAAAAAACAGATGCACAAACCTGCAATTTCTTATTAATTTTAAAGTAGCACTTGGCTCGCTACCTCCTCCCTATCAGCCCTTGTGTTGTCAGTAAATTATATTGGATTTGCAATTAAAAGCCAGCTGTGCCCGTGCAGTACCAGCCAAATGCCACCATCACTGTCTCCGGGGTGTCCTAGGGAAGGTGTGGAGCACACAGCTCCTCCTGTAGCGAGCTCTTCTCTCACTTCAAGAGGGAGTGATAAGAGTTTAAATGGGATCTCAGACATGTTATTTTTGCTAATCAGAGCACTTGCTCACTAAGAAATGCAGTTCTCTTCTTAATACTGTGTGACGTGGATATAGCAATTCCCAGAGCTTGCAAAATGCCAAACATCATGCAAAAGGTAGCACAACATGTACTGGTGGATGTCTGCCTCAGGCTGATTGTTTTTCTTCTTTCCTTTCTTGATTAAAATAGTTTTGGGGAAGTACTTCTGCTGTTTGGGATTTAAGTGTTGAGAAGCATTTGTGCCCACCTGTGTTGGAGCAGGAGTTTGCAGCCAGGCACAGGGAACAGCACTGAGGATGTGCTGCTCCCTGCTCCTCTGGAGATCCAGCCTGTTCATCCAGCTTCTGAGCCTTTGTGTCTCACCTCTGGGACAGCAGCCTGCTGCAAGTTGCAGCAAAAGCCTGACTGTTTTGTTTTCTGTCCATTCTGGAGCTGGACAGGACTTTTTCTGCACTGTCTCCTTCTGTCCCTCAGCTTCTTAGGCTGCTGCAGCCAGAACTGGAGGCAAGGAGCCCTTTGGCTCTTAACTCCCTCACTTTTGGCTGCTTTAGGAAGGTGCAGCAACCCAGTTCAGGGGGAAATAGAAGAAGAGGAATGTAGAAAGTGGGTCTCTTTAGAACCTAGAGGAGGACTCCAGGTTAGACTTACCGTGGTGATCCTAAAAGCCACTGGCAAGGGAAGAAGGAAGCTCATGTCAATGAGAGTGGTTAGATTTGACATCTACCAAAAATCTGTGCTGTGGGTCCTCAGGGTTGTGGTCTTCCAGTGAGCTCTGGAAAGTCCGATACCCATCTCTGATAAAATGATATTTTTTAACTAGATAGCTGGAAAACTCTTATGCAAAAAATCCAGCACCATGTTAAAAGCCTGATAAACAAGTTGTGCGCTTAGCTGAGAAATACCTGATGGAGTGTTGTGTGTGGAACTTCTAATTCCTACCACTGCATATTTGCCTTGTGGTGCAGTTTTAATTGTCATTGCAGGTGGGATACGTGTGTGCTGTAGCGAGGCTACATGTGCATACAGAAATTGGCTTATGAGCTGTCTTTAGGCGTGTAATAAAGATCTTGTCCTTCCTGCTGCTTTGAAAATAGTTCACTTCAAAGGCTGTAATATTTGCTTTGTCCTTTGGCCTTTGTGGGGTGAGAGAAGAGGCTGCCTGCACCGTAGATGTGTTAGTTGTCTCTAGCAGTATCTTTCCCTGGGATGAAGAGATTGGTACAGCAAACAGTGGGGGAGTGTTTGCCTCTGTTGTTCCTCTCCCTGTTTGTTTCAAATGTGCTAGCTTTCCCTGTCCTCCCCTTAAATCACATTATTTCATAAAGAGTAAAAAGAAACATAATTTGGAGCAGCAGCAAGCTGAGCCCAAGTTAATAGTTTGAATTGCACTCCATCTGTTCAGCTGCATGCCCTGATGGATGTGCTGAACCCATTTTTCACAATTTGTTTTAAGCTGCTAAGAACCATCTCTCCTGGCTCCAGTCCAGGCTGGCTGTGGAGAAAAACTTCGTTTCTGGACATTGATGTTCAGAGGGCAGGATTGAATCAATAAACCTCAGATTCAAGGCTACCTCTTCACCTGCAGGATGCCAGTTTTTGAAAGCTTAAATTCTTTTCTAGACTTGAGCATTGTTATTGAAAATTAGAGGAGGGGGGGAACCCCCAACACAGACGCAGAGAGAGGATGAAATTTGCAAACGTGATTATGCAGGACCTGCTCTAAATCGGCTTATTGCTGTTTTATGATGGCAAGCAAGCAGTCACAGAAGCCAGGGTGATTGGCCTTGCCATGTGTGCATGCTGCTGGTAACTCAATAACCGATGAACACCCACCGTGGTCTCCAGACCTCGAGCCTTTGATGTAGCAACAAACAAGATAGATTGCTGTAATTTATCTGGCCCCTGGAGGGCTGTGCTGGTAATGTGCCATGAGCCCAAGGGCCAGCCATCCATAATCTGTGTAAAAATACGGCGGATCGCCGTCGCCGTGCTGCGGGGCTGGCTTTGTTTTGTGCCTCACGCCTTTGCCTCTGTGCAGCCGGGGCACTGGGCCCTGGCTTCAGAGCCAGGGGCACTGAGCTTTGGTGTAAAGTGCCCGCTCCTTCCATTAACCTTAATTGGGTTTGTTATGTGCTACATGCACACCTTGCAAATTGGCTTGGGAAGGCAGTGCCGGAAACCTGATATTTCTCAGTGGGCCTTTATGAGAGAGAATGGAGAAGGTGTGCTGGGTTTGAGGAAGAAGAAGGGAGTTTAGTACCAGCTGAAGCCTCTGGCAGATTTGCTGATGGAGGATGAGTGCCTGGGGTGTTGGAGTTGGGTGGCCCAGCAGCCAAAGGAGAGGGAGTGTAGCCCCCTGGCCTCTCTCCATGGGGTGATAAGTTGGAAAGTAAAAGTACTGAAAACAAAGACCTGTCACCTTGAGTTTCTGATTTGTTACTGCGTGGTGCATTGCCCTTTCACGCCTGGGTTCTTACCGCTTCCAAACAAGGGGTTTGTGTTACCTCAGAGCTAGTTCTTTCATGGGATGTTTATTAAAACACTTGGAGTCAGCAAGAATTCTACAATGTGACTCGGGTGGAGCCTGATGTGCGAATGTAAAATGGGCTGTGGGGCTTGCTTTGTCCAGGGATGTACCTGTGTGAGGTGTGGGGGTTGCCTGCTGGTCAGTAACGCTGGGCTCCTCTCCTCCCCCAGGCATGGCGCTGGCCCAGCGGCAAGTGACGGTGCAGCAGGGCCCCCTGTACCGCACGGAGGGGTCCCACGTCACCCTGTGGTGCAAGGTGAGCGGCTACCAGGGCCCGGCGGAGCAGAACTTCCAGTGGTCCATCTACCTGCCCTCGGCCCCCGAGCGGGAGGTGCAGATCGTCAGCACCGTGGACCCCTCGTTCCCCTACGCCATCTACACGCAGCGCGTGCGCGGCCGCGGCATCTTCGTGGAGCGGCTGCAGGGGGACGCCGTGCTGCTGCACATCACCGAGCTGCAGGAGCGCGACGCCGGCCAGTACGAGTGCCACACGCCCAACACCGACGAGAGGTACTTCGGCAGCTACAGCGCCAAGATGGACCTCGTGGGTAAGCTGTGCTGCGTGGCTGGGCCGGTGGGGTGGCAGAGCTTTCCGCCCCACATGTGCGGTGTGGTCTGCCAGATAAATACCTGTCACCGCGATATTTTTATGAAAACCCTTTGCTAGGATTTTTCTCCTATTCTAGCTGAGAAGCCTCAGAAAAGAAATGTAAACAACTATCTGATGGCTGTGGAATGTGGTCTGGACATTGTTTACCAACAGGTGCATCTGTGATTTTTCCATGTGAATTGTTTCTACTTAATAACCAATCAAAGATGCAGCTGTGTTGGACTCTGAGAGTCACGAGGTTTTGTTTCCATTCCTTTCCTATTCCTTTCGAGCTTTCTGATGGATCCTTTCTCTCTATTCTTTTTAGTATAGCATTTTAATATAATATCATAATATAATAAATCAGCCTTCTGAAACACGGAGTCAAGATTCTCCTCTCTTCCCTCGTCCTGAGACCCTCGAACACAACCATAAAAATCCTGTGAGGGAGAGCGGGTGGCACAGTGGTGTGAATTGCAGGAAATCAAGGTATAGAGGCACAGGAAATAGTGAGCTTTCTTCACTAATAAGGCCTTTATAAAAATGAGATAGCAGGCAGCACGGCTGGGCAGAGGAACGTTTGAAGCCATGGCTGAAAGCAAGACAGACGTGGGACTGATTTACAGAGAGGGAAGGGAGCAGGGAGTCTGTCAGATGGCACAAGTCACAGACCACAGAGCTGCTTGCCAAAGGTGGTAAAATAACTGAGCAGGGAAGAGAGGAGTAGTAATGAGCAGCAGATAAAAGGGAACAGGAGAGATGGTCATCATCAGGCTCTTACAGCAGTGCTGAGTACGTCCTGAAACCACTGAGCAGATTGAGCTGTCTGTAGATGAGTGTGGAGAAGCTGGTTTGGGAATTATTTTTTTGGGGGTTTGTGTTAGAAAAATCAAAAACAGGTACTTTAAAATCTGGAGTATTTCCATGGCACCTCTTTGACTAGATGATTTGACCTTTTCAAGCTTCTGCTTGCTTTCTGTATCTCAAAGCAGTATTTGAAGTGTCTAACTCAGCTAACAGCAGTCAAATAGCTTCCATCCAACTCTTTGGCTGAAAAACTACTAAAAGAGTTCCTGTGCAACACAGACACCCCTCTAGCAAATTCAAGCCCACAGACAGCAAGCAGGCTTGCTTTCCTTAGGTGTCTGTGAGGCTGCAGCTTGGAAACCACTTTGACATTATCCAGCCCGTGGTGGTGTCACTGGTTCAGGCTGTGTTGACACAAGAAATCCAGTGTGAAAGGAGCCAGGATATGATTGCAATCACAATAGCCTTCCTTTGGGTTGAGCTTCTTGCCTCCAGCCCAGCCACTCTCCCAGGTGAGGATCCACAGCATGGGTGTAGGTGCTTATTTAGGTGCCTTTTTTGCCATCTGATGTTCACGAGTGGTTGGGGGGTAGATGCCTGAGTATTCCATTTTTTATTTGCAGGTCTGTAATTTGCTTTAGGTGTCCGGATTTGCAGTTCCCAGTGCAGTTTAAACAAGACTGAGTCAGCACTGCTTTTGTTAAGTCACCTTGGGGAGTGAAACCCATTGAAACCAACACCCACTGAAAAAACGTGCCTGGGGACAGGGTGGGGTTGGATGGGTTCTGGGTGGCTCTGCCAAAGAGCTGGAGCTGAGCACAGTCAGCATATCCTGTGGCTGGGCAGTGGGAAGCTCCTCCACTGCTCTCCCAAGAGTTTGGGAGCCATAGCTGGGTTGATCTGGTTTTGCTCTGTCCTTCCCTTTCCACAGCTACAAACCAGTAAGATTTGGGAGTCTGTAGACACCCATGAACAGTGCTTGGAGGACATTGGCTTTGGGGCTTACATGTGTCAGAGATACTCAAGAAAATTGATCTAAAGTAACTTTAGTGGATTAGTTAAATCACATTATGCCCCTTCATGGATGTTTGCACTCAGGATTTTGAGCCCTAATTTGGTTTAGCTTAATTCATTTCGGAAAATTCACTTTGGAAATGACTTAGGGTCACTTGCATTTTGAGCATGTGCATCTGTGTAGGTTCCCTTCTGTGGGTTAGCCAAACTCCTGACAGAAACTGTATTTTTCAGAGTGCTTCCAGCAATGACCTGTAGACAGAATGCCCTTACAGAGAGCCTTCCTTCTGCCTCTCATTTATGGGAAGTGGTGCTGACTTCAACTTTGTTGGACCCTGAAGTCCTTCTGGGGAAATGGGCTCCTCTCTGCAGAGCTGGGCAGATCACAGGTCCTTTCTGTTTTCCTGTCTCAGCTATAGGTTGGGGTTTTTCAGGCTGATTTTGTTTCTGCAGACAGTATGCAAGAAGAGGTACAGAAAAGAGTTACTGTTCTCATTTTCTCTGAAAAAGAACCAAACTTTTTTTTCCAGTTATGAATCCAGTTATGAAATTTTAATTGACTCATTAGATTGAGTGGTTCTTTTCTGGCAGCAGCAAAGCCTGAAGGGAGACAGGTTTGTTAGCATCTCTATTCTCTCCACTTATGTGTGAAGTGGATGGCTTTGAAGCAGTGTTGATTTTAGGCTTGCTGCTCTGGGACCTTGGAATTGTTGTGTCCTGTGGTTTGAGGAGAGAGCTGAAGGAGAAGTTTCTCCTCTTTTCCACCTACATGATACAGCCCTGTGACAGGGGAGCTGCTTGGGACACTGGTGCAGCAGCACGTGGGGCTGCTGTCTGCAGTGGGGCATTTCAGCTTGCAGTGCAGCAGCTGGGATGTGCTCTGCTCCTGGTGAGCATTGTTGAAGGCTGTGTCTCCAGGGCTCTGAGGCTGCTAAAAAATAATCTTATCAGCTTCAGAGACATGCCAGTTTGGCTTGAAAATCCAGCAAGCATGGGTAGTTGTCCCTCTGCCATTATTAATGTCACTGCTTCAGATTCCTTTTCCCTCACTGAGACTTTGGCCACAGTCTAGCACTGCTTTGAGGACCTGATGTCTGTGATGGCCTGGAGTAAGAAGTGCTCCCCAGGCACTCTGTGGGACTCTTATCTGAATTTTAGGCATGCAACACAAGTGCTAATCTCACTGAAGCTAGGAATGAGGCCAGTCATGTGGTTCAAAGGCCTTCTGCCATTCGAGCATGTGTACCAAAGCTTAATCTTCTTCACCAGTCTTAAATTGCTTCAAAAACAAGCCTTTCTGTGTCTTACTGCTTCTCTTCTCATCCCCCTCTGAGCTGCATCTTTGGGATGATGGAGTTATGCCTTGGCTGTGAGATGTGTTAGGAGAAGAATTCAGGACATCTCAGACTGAGTTTCAGGTGCTGAGTGAGGTGGGATTAAAAAAAAAAGAAGGGGTACAGCTCTTCAGAATGTTGTGGATCCATGGCCTTGTGACTGATGTATGGAAAAGGATTAGCCCATGTACAAAGTCTGCAACTCCGTTGTTTGCCTTCACATTTTAGTTCCCTGAGACTGACGCAAAATTGCTGAGACTAGTTCATGCTCTTTTACTCAGGGTGGCAGGAAAATATTTTGGAAGATCTCATGAGTTGTCTGCCACCCATTTAACACCAGACTCAGTGCCTAAAGTAGATGTCCAGGCAACATCTGCCATCAGAAGGCAGAAAAAGACAAATCTAGAGAGCAGTCCATCTTTGTTTAAATTAAGTGCATAGTTCTCTCTGTTGACTAGAGAGAGATCTTACATGTTAGACTTGAGGTAGGCACTAGTGGCTGTAAACTTGTCTGCTTTTGGACACTTGCCCTATCAGGCTTCTAAGCAACTGGTGGGAATTTTGACTTTGTGGTTGAATTGGGAAGACAGTTGAGTGTATTGAAGAGGGGAGTTACAAAATTTAAATGGGGCTGATTAAATCATGGATCTGGGGACAATGCACACAGTTGTATTGGAGTTCTGCTTGTTGCTGGCTATATGTACTTTTTTTTAAGAAGTTAAGAGACAGCAAAGAATTTGCAGGTGAAGGAAAGCAGCACCCCAGAAGCACTGCATCACCACTGACAAGACAGAAGTATTTTCCAGGTTGGCATCGGAATTATCTCTTAACTCTTGAAATATGGGCAGAAGAGGAGGTTTCTGCACAGTAATTTAGTTGGTGAAGCTGCAGGAGTGCTATGCAAATTGAGGTGCTGGTTTGTGCTTCTCCTGTTGATGGGTAAACTTGTGTTTTGCTGCAGGGTAGAACTGAGCACATGGCAATTCCTTCAAAGAGCGTGAGTCACTGCAAATTTGTACTCCACTGTATCTCTGCGATGAATTGTTTGTGTGCCTGTACCCTCGCTTAGATAACAGTGAAGAGGCCCAGGTCTAACCTCTTCAGAAGTTTCAGACTTTTATCTCAGTGTTTTTTCATCTGTGCTCCCAAAAACGTTGAGATCTTTTTCAGAGTAAGTGATTTGAGGGAAGAAATCTAGCTTTGAGGTTTTTCTTAAACAGGTAGTGATAGAGCGGGAGAAAGGTTTCAAAGCACTTGAGGAGGTGGCAGGTCTTTTAGTCTTTATTTTGGGGGAAGCAGCTGTACGGCATCAATCCTAAACAAGTTAAAGCAGAAAAATGAAAGGGGTTTGGATGGGAGGAGACCACAGTCCCCACGGTACCACAGGCTGGGAAGAAGCAATGTCAGTGCAGACTTGAGAAATGAGGAGCACTCAAACGCAGCTGCCTTTGCAGTGGGCAGGGGCTGCTGTGCAGCTGCTGGTAGTGCCTGCAGGGATGGTCACCAGGACCTTCTTCCAGCCAGGCTTAGGTCACAGAGGGCAGAGAGGCTAGGTGCTATTCAGTGTCAGCCTGGTCACACTTTGGCTCTCTGCTGTTTCTCACTGGTCTCATCCTGCCTGGGTGTGTTGGTGCCTTGGCCTCTGCCCTGTTCTCCTGTGTCCTGCATTACCTGTGATGGCTCCCAGGGGCTCTGTGTGTTTTGTTGCTGGTAGCCCCATTGTAGTGGAGTTTCTACACCGTGCCAAGCTTGGGAGTTGGTGGAGGGCAGGGGCGCTGATGGGTGAAGAGCCATCTGCATCTCT